TCAATTCCAAAACAACACACAATGCTCTAGTTGTGGTCGAACCAACCTTTTATACAGTGCCAGCATAATCTCCCTGCTCTTAAGCTCTATGCCTGGGATAATGAAGGAAAGTATCCCGTACGCCTTTAGAGCCGTTGTGAAGAACAGTCACTGGACCCAAAACACAAACTCTGTTTTCTCTCCACAGATGCTGCCATACCTGCTGATTTTTTTCAGCAATTTCTTGTTTTTTTTCCGATTTCCAGAATCTGCAGTTCTTTGTTTTTTTTTTGCCTTCTTAACCACTTTACCTACCTGTCGTTTTACCTTACGAGACTGGTGGACATGCACATCAAGGTCTCTTTGATCCTCATGCTTCTCAGGATCCAACTGTTCATTGTGTATTCCATCGCCTTATCTGTCCTGCACAAGTGCATCACCTCACACATATCTGGATTGCATTCCATTTGTCATCAAATATCCCATCTACATCCTCTTGTAATCTAAAGCTATCCTTCTCACTATTTACCATGCTACCAGTTTTCGCATAATCTGCAAACTTACTGATCAACCCTCCTCCGTCAAGTCTAAATTACTTATATATACCACAAACTGCAGGACCCAAACATTGATTCCTGCAGAACCCCACTGGACACAGGCTTTGTGGCATAAAAACACCCACCCATCCATCACCCTCTGCTTTTTGTCACTCAGCCAATTCTATATCCAATTTGCCAAATTTCCTTGGATCCCATGTGTTCTTACCTTCACTATCAGGCTCCCAGGCAAGACCTTATCAAAAGCTTTCCAAGTCGACCACGTCAAATATATTGCCCTCAGTACACATCTGACTGAACTTTTCAAAGAGTTAATCAAGTTGATAAGACATGCCCCCGTATTCTCTTCAGATTACAGGTTAGGGGGTACAAGGCTAATGATTTAATGACAGAGTTCTCTTTGTTATAAACTTACATTTGAATGAAACTCCTTCTATATCTTAAAAGGAAATCAATATTATCACAAGACAACTCAGGCGTTCCACTCCCAGACATCCTAGAAGTCCTCCTATTTCAAGGACCGTAACTTCCCCCCCCTCCGGTGATCAAAAATGCCCTCAACTGCATCTCTTGCATTTCCCACACTTCTGGCCTCACAACACTTCTCCCCAACAAAAATAAAGACAGAATCCCCCTTGTTCTCACATATCACCCCACCAACCTCCACATCATTCTGCGCCACTTCCACCACCTACAATCTGACGTCACAACCAAACAGATATTTTCCTCCCCACCCCATCTGCCTTTTGTAGGGACCGTTCTGTCCGCGACTCCCTCATCCACTCCACAATCCCCTCTAACCCCACCACCCCCAGCACTTTTCCCGCAATGGCAGGAAGTGCTGCACCTGCCCCTACACCTCCCCCTTCACCTCCATTCAAGGCACAAAACAAACCTTCCATATCAGACAGGGGTTCACCTGCACATCCGTCAACTTGGTCTACTGTATCTGCTGCTCCTGATGTGGCCTCCTCTACACGTTGGTGAGACCAAGCGTAGACTCGGAAATGGTTTTGTAGAGCATCTGTGCTCTGTATGCAACAAACGACAATACCTTCTGGTCGCCAACCATTTTAACTCCTCCTCCCACTCCCTGGGTGACATGTCCACCCTGGGCCTCCTCCAGTGTCACAATGACACAACCCCCAAACTGGAGGAGCAACACCTCATATTCCACCTTGGGAGCCTACAGTCTGATGGCCTAAACATGGAATTCACCAGTTTTAAAATTTCCCCACCCCAACCCCCCAACTCATCCCATGTCCAACCCTTCCTCCTTGACCTGACACAACCTGTCCATTTTCTCTCTCACCTATCCACCCCTCCCATTCCACTGACCAATCCCCACCACACCCTACTTGCACTCACCTATTGCCATCTCACCTACCTTCCCCAGGCCCACCCCTCCTTTCATTTTCCAGCTCTCTTCTCCCTCCCCTTTTCTGAAGGAAATGTCAACTTTCCTACTCCTCTGATGTTGCCTGGCCCACTGTGTTCCTCCAGTTCCTCACTATATTGTCTCAGGTTGCATTTACATCTGCTCTATCACCCATAATCAAGAAAAAAACCTTGAGCAGGGAGCTTTAACACAGTCTCCTGGATTTTATAGGCTCAAAGTCAACAAGGAATGAGATAATTGGCTCCTTTCCTGCCTCAACACATGCAAACGGCGATATATAGATATGGCCCAGAAGCCCAACTGATTTCCTTCTATTCCACCAATGATAGCATCAACTTCAGTGATAGGCACAAAGATGCATTACAGTACACTCTCAAGCAGTGGCAGAGATACAATTGATGACCTTTTTGAAAGAGCGGCAGTTCAGTGTAATTGAAACTTCTAATTTTCTCAAGTCTACAAACTGTAAAAGGTTCCAGGTTTCAGTTCTGCTGGAAGCATAAATTACAATCCGACTGATGATCTTCTGCACCAGCTAAGTTACTCTGAACATATCCTGGTGCAGCATTGACAGAAGTTGCTCCCACACAGTTGTAAACTCATCATGATTCTGCTGTGAAGATACCTTGTGTAAATAAATATCACCATCTCAGAAAGCAGAATGAGTGTCATGATAAAGGCACAGCAGCAAAGTTCCAAACTAAACCTTGTACATTAATTTTATCAAGGGCTGTTCTGTATGTGAACAATGGAACACCACTGCCCAGCAGCAATGGGATGCCCTGTGATCAATATCACTGTTTCACTTTCATTATGACTACAGTGCCAACTTTGCATTTTGCCATCTTTTACTCTGGTATACAGTGTTTTGGTGTCCCTGCCAAGTATTAGTAGAACTCAAATCTTGAAATTTCTGTTTTCAAGAGTCAGATATTTGTGACTGAAACCCACTAACATTTATTGTTTATAATTTTCACTGTATTAATGGTGGTTTCTTTGGAAGGGTAAGGTGGTGGTGGAAAGAATTATTTTAACAAACTATTAGTCGACTCAGTTGATGGCTTATGGAAGCTAGAGCTACGTAAACTGATAACTTTTTTTGGTTGTCTGTGTCGATCATTCTTTGCATTTTAGGAAATATCCTGCGTGGACAGTAGTAAAGTATCAAGTGAACAGTGTATTTCAGTGGCACATTCAGAATAAATATGCCTAGGCTTTTGTGAGGGCCACATATAAAGCTTAAATTTGTATTTTCATTATTTTTTTCATATCTCCACTCACTTTCCGAATAGATCTTAATGATCTGACTTAGGGTAATCTATTAATAGGTAACAGTGCCAGCAGTAGTCATTTCTGAACCTCTAACTTAACAAAATTCAAGGAAGCAATACTTCCATGTGGGACTCACAGGTGCCATCCCACTGATTAAGGAATCCTTTGGTTCCCACATCCATTCCTGGAATATATTATTCCGTAATTTGTGTTGTTTTATCCAACCAAACCAAAAAACAAAGGAATCATCCAGCAGAAATTCTGAGCTCTTAAGTGTAACCATTTTTATTAGAAAATGGTATGTATCATTAATATGAAAAGCAAGCTTCCATAGAATGATGGAAACAGAACATCTACTGTAAAAATTTCACTTCAGAGTAAAGAATCTCAAATTAGATCTTGAAAATGTTATTTTGTCAACATAAATTGGCAAGTGTACATTTAAGAGATGCAAGCTATAGCAACTGAGTCATACTGGACTTAATGACAAAGCTCTCAGATAGAATGCCACATTTTTCAAAGGAGCACCATTGCTGATTTTATCTATTATGGCAGAATCTAACATAGGTACTTCTATCATTGTCCCTTGAACAATTATCAAATTAAGCTGAAATTTATAGAAAACATTTCCTTACAGAGCAGACAGATAGAATTTGAAGAAATTTATCTGAAATCATTGTTAAGAGTCTAAGAATTAGTTCAAAAATAAAATTAGTTTGTTGCTTTGAAAAGTGCAACAAATGATTTTGGAATTGGCAGGGGAATGAGATTAGATGAGACAGTTTTATGTAGCAAACCTCTGTACGTACATAAAAGGCCAGATCCAATTCCGTGTTGGAATATTTTATAATTTTAAAATTGAAAGGCATTTTGAGATCTTTCCAAAATGTCAACATGAAAATCAGATTATCATGTTTACTTTCCTCTGGTTTCTAACGTGAATCGAAAAAGAGTATAGTGATTTAAGCTCACACTAGTTTTTTGTTTTAAAAACTGTTACATAAACATAAATCATTTCCTACAATAGCAACTGAAAAGAGAATACGGTGGCATATTTGCCTTCGACGACTAGAAAAGAAATGCACAAACAACAGTACTGAACATCACATGTAATAATGGAAAACATTCAGCTGCATTTTTATTCTTAAATGCTCCTTTAAAGAAAAGTTGTAACCATTGTTGGGATGGGCTCAATTTAATCAAACTGAAAACAAGAGTTCATGGCCTCTGTTAATAGGAGTGTTAGCACAGGTTCAAAATCTGCTTCCTGCACATCAGCAGCATGAAAGAAAGATGACAAGTCTGTGAAAACAAAAGGGCTTAGTTACTAAACTCAGGAAAGGCCAACCCTGAAATGGCTCATTTATACAGAGGACATACTAGAATAGACCATCAGGAAGAAACTCAGCGAGGAATTGGGTGCAGCCTCTGGAGGAGAGGATGGTAATAAAGGTTATAAGAAGTAATCAAGAAACTTTCTGCTAGACACTTACCACAAAAAAAACAGTGGAGGTTGTTGTTCATTAAAAATTAGAACAATTTAGTCTACCAGACTACTGGCTCCAGACTATGCGTTTATCAGCCTGCTGCACTTTTTTATAGCTTGTGGATGTATTCTGCACTAATGCTGTATATAACAATATTCACCATCATGGGAAAACTACATCACTCAACTTCAACTTCAGACTCTACAAAGGTGAGTGTACTGCATCATCAGAAGAAACCAAGGACTTAAGTTTGTTGCATATCAAGATAAAGGGTATTCCGAGGCTATTAGCAACATCTTTCCTTACCTCCAGATGTTCTAAAATATATGGAGGATTGGTCATACCAAGCCTCAGCATTGCTCCCTCAGGAATAACTTCCACCAGTTTCCAAAGCAGTGTTGGAAGGTCTGTCCCAATGTCTCTTCCATAAGCCCCTGTGTCTTCACTAGTCAGCCATATTTCACAGACACCTTCTGTTTGAGGGGGAAAGAAAAAGAGGAAAAAATGTAAACTCTTTCACATTTTGCTTTCTGCATTCATCAACAATGTGGACAATTAGTTCTGATTGGCATGTAGCTTTAGCTTCTAAAGTGTATCATTTTAGTGTTTATTGATATCTATCACCTGGGTACACTAGGTGACATACATCAAGTTCTAAACAACACAAAGCACTGGAATGACTAAAAATTAATTATTATATCAGTTTTCAAAATGCCAATTTTATACACTTTTTAAAAAACTTATATAAACATTACTTATTTTTTAAGGATGGAGTTTAAAGTCTGAACATAAATGTACTTGCAACAAAACGCACAAAAATAAACACTAAAAAGAATCTTTTCTCTCACACCATCTTGCAATGGAAACTAAGGTCTGGTTATTGGCACTTGTTGAAATTGACCTCCCAACAGGTTTTTAAAATTAATATAGCTAGACTTACACTCGTCAATTGTTATGTTGTCTTTCTACAAGCATTACCCAACAAATTCTAATTTTAATGCTGCAAGCTTCAACTACAATTATTATTCATGAGTTCCACAACTAGTGCAAACACCCAACAATATCTTCTTTAACAAACATCATTATATTTCCATCTGAATAGTGAACTATTTTCACCTTTATTTGGATGGAGATCATGATGGAAAATTACCCTTACATTATTAGGTGTTCAGTAAGGGAAGCAAGAGAATTTTATGGAAACTCCACTCCTGTGCAAAACAACACTGAATTCTTACTGTGAACTAGGTGGAGACTGGAAGCCCCCTGTTGAGCTGAGGCATTAAATTAAATCAAATGAAGAGGAAACAGCTGTAGCAGTAAATCATCAACAGGCAAGAGCTCCTCAACTTCCACGAGAATATCAACAGAAGAATTAGCAGTCTAATATGGTGTTCAAAAAATGCATGAAGATTTATTAAATAGGACAGAACAATTATCAAACTTCTTTACCCGAAGTAAAAAATAGGATATCATCTTCATACATTAAACAACAATCCCACTCCCCACTCAGCCTAATAAATGACTGGGATTGAAATTGGCCATCATAAGAATGTGTTCAGAACAAACTTCTTGTTTCCTACAAAATACTGTGTATTTTGTAATTGGGAAAGTCAGATAAAGGGAAGGAGCCCCAAAAAACAAATATGGATTATACATTAAAAGGAATATTGTCTTTGCATTTGAAAATAATCACTGACTTTACTCAATTTCTCTCCTGTTTCTACAATTTAGAACAATGTATCCGTGTTTAAACAATGATTGCAGATGATTGGAGGCAGAGCCCAACAGTGTGAGGAAACTGAACACCAAAAAGTAACACATTCATCCAAGGTACTTCAGCAATCTGTCAGTTAGTACAGCTCTCTCACACCATTCAATTCAACTATTCTCTGAGCTAATTCACTGACAAAGCATTCTGATGTGTCAAGGTTCAAAAATAAAACAGGGAGAAGACCTATAACTTAAATAGCAATGGGGCTTGCAAAAAAAAACTTAGTAAAAAGCTCAGTAATTAAAACCTAGAAGAGTCCCATAGAGATACAGGAAGAATAATACTTAGCAAAAACATAGTGGCATGTACTTTATAGTCAGCAGGAAACAAATAACTCCTGCCTTTATTACACCTATGTTTGCTATCAGACATCCTGTGCAATACTACACTAGAACTTAAACACTTAATTTATATTCAAATGATTAGCTAAAAAAAACACCTGACGCTGTGAATTTGGGTCCTGTGTTATGATCAGGTAAGCAACATGAATCAGCTCCTCTACTTAAGTTGCTCAGTCAGTTGCAACAAATATTTTATTTTTCAGCATGCAGCTAGATCACATTTCAATTAAAATGCAATACTAATCATGATTAAGGAGGCAATTACTAGGTGTTCTTGAGTGAAAGAAAGCAAAATTTTATTATTCTCTGAGAAAAATAATCAAACATGACATCAGACAAGAGCAAAACACACATATAAAGTTTAAAATGGGTGTGTCCAATACAAAGAAAAAATGTGGTTTAAAAGTTCTTAGACACCAAAATAAATTCAAAGTGCTGGAAAAACTCAGAAGGTCTGGCAGCATCTATGAAGAGAGAAATAGAGCCAATGTTTCGAGTACAATGATGCTTCTTCAGAACATGCTTTAGTTCTGAAGAAGAATCATGTTAACTTTCTCTCCACAGACGCTGCCAGATCTGCTGGTTTTTCCAGCCATTCCTTTTTGTTTCAGATCATCAGCATCCAATTTTTTAACTTTTATTTTCAGTTGCAAGACTTGAACCGGAGGCTACGTCTGTATAACTGACATTTCACATCCTCAGCGGTAGTGAAATTTATAGATTCCTTGAATTTTTGGTGAAAGGTTGTTTCTCCAATTTGCTTTAATACTGGTGTTGGCTTCCATGAGGTTGAGCTGTAAGCAAGGGAAGAGAGAGAGCAAGCCTTTCAATATTCATGATTCCTTTTCTTTCCCTTTGTCTGCTGCTCTGCCAAGTAGTGATTGAAATATAGTCCACTTGTGTATTCCTGAGTCTGACTCCATTGTTTTTGCAAGTTGAATCATTGCAGGCAACATTACATGTCCATTGTATGCATTTTCTCCTAAAAGTAAATCAAAACAGAAGATGGGGGGTTCTTAACTTCTGCCTCAATCTGTGGTCAAGTGATCACTGCAACTATTTTAAGTCCATGTTTTATCATTTTTTAATATCATTTTAGTCCTTGAATGTCTAAGTGATAAAATCAGATGATGAATGTTGATAATCCATACATTGTCATTATCATGCCAACTGTGTCACCAGTACAAAAAAAAACTACGCATTTTTGAACAATCAGAACACAGAATCCTCATTAAGGTATGCAGAATTGAAGGAGGGTCATTGGACCTGAAACGTTAACTCTGCTTTCTCTCTACAGGTGCTGCCTTACCTGCTGAGTTTTTCCAGCAATTTATGATTTTGCTGTTGATACAGAATTGAACCTGGGAGAATAAGTTAGAATCATTAATGCAAATGTAAAATCATACACCTAACGTATAAAGGAGAAAAGTTGAATTTAAGAAAGACAAAAGAGACAAAAATTAAAAAAAATGTTTATTTATATCTCAACACCCCATCCATTTTCAACATTCAGATTGTAAATCACTGTCACATAGAGGCCTTATGCGTAACATATACATGACGCACTGCATCTCATACAGACTCCTTTGACAGTACTTCCCAAGCCTATAGCCTCTATCACCAAGAAGGACAATGGCAGCAGTTTCATTGCAGCACCACTACCCGCAAGTTTTGTCCAAGTCAGACACTAAGCTGAGTCAAAATTCTGGAACTCCTTTCCTAACAGTACTGTAAGTGCAGCAACACTTCAACAACTGCAGCAAATTAAGAAGTTAACTCATCAATACCTTCTCAAGGACAAGTCTGAATAAGTATTGAATACTGGCCTAGCCAGCAGGGCCCACGAAATACCTCCACGGAGGCTGGTATCCCATCACAAGTCACTGTTTATTTACATGTGCATAATACTTGACACTGGTTCGGCTACCTCAGAGCCAGCTCTCAAAGTGAACAGAACCTCTGACACTCCTGTTTATATCTGTTTGTCAGGGTTCCCTGATTAGCTGATTTAACATCCAATCAGGGAATTCATTCTATGAAGTCCACCTGGCTGCCCTCGTTACAATCACTAGATCACACCTCCTCTAAAATCCAGGACACAGGCCTGTTCTCTTTCTTGTAGCTGCTTCTGGGGCATTTTTGCACTAGGTCCAGTTCCTCCGACTCAGCCTCAGATACAAATAATAGTGTACCAGACTGTAGTCCGCCTCTTGCATCTGGAATGTCTCGGAACAAATTCATCCTCTTCGTCAGGCGGTAAAGGCATCGAGGCTGTGACATCCAACGTGTCCATCTCAGACTCCAAGGTTTCTTGGATGCTAGATTGAGGAGGAGAACCCACAGATTCCGACAGCCTTTCTAGCTATTCTAAGGGGCTGGGTATTGTTTTGCTCATGCCCTGTTTGAGAGTTTGCAGTTTTCCTGTGGTCTACATGCTTGTTCAGGACTGCCTCATCAACCCAAACTTTGAATTTCACGGGACTTGACCTCACATTGACCATGCTGCTTAACTCATGCAGGGCCATTTCTGTGGTTTCTGCACCAAACTTCATCCCCTGAAGTAAATTGTCTCGCTCGCTTAGAGGAATGCTCTTTGGCATGTCATTCCTGATGCCATTTCACCACACCACTAACCCCAACTTCTCCCCCTCAAAAAAAAGGTCCAGAAACATCAGATTTAACTTGGTGCAGACTCTTTCCCCCTTTAGCAACTCTGCTGGAACTATTCCTGTAGTTGCAAGAGGAATGGTATGATAATCAAACAGGAACCAAGTCAGTTGATATTGAATGAAGCTGTAGGCTGTTTCTTTAAGCCTGCTTTCAAAGTTTGGACTGCTCTTTCTCCCAGACCTTTGGTTGATGGATGGTATGGAGCTGACCTTATATGCTGAATGCCATTCGACTTTCGGAAATATTCGAAGTCCCTGCTGGTAAATGATGGCCTGTTGTCTGTGACCAACACATCCAGGAGCCTGTGTATTGCAAGAGGCCCCCCTATGTTTGACTATGCATGACTATCTATGCATGTCCAACATCTTTGAAAGTTCTTAGTCATTGTGGACACCCATTCAGCACAGGAAAGGGCCAGCACAAATTGAGAGTTTACGTGGCCATTCCCATGAATGTGAGGGAGCTGCTGGCTGCAATTCTTTTCTTTGTTGGCAATCCAAGGAAAGACCTAAGCTCCAGTACTGACATGGGAGTTGGGGCATCTTGATCACCCTCACTTTATCTTCTGAGTGTAACATGGTCTTGTCCACTCTGTAGCCCAACTAGGTCACTTGGGGTGCCTGGAATACACATTTTTCTAAGTGCCCTTTATTGGTTTTCCCTGTTATCAGCATGTCATCCAGATAAATAG